TGAGGTTAAGGATTATTGTGCTATCTTCAGAGGAGAGTATTTAGTGTAAGAGGTAAGATTAAATACATTCTGTTTACTGTGAAACAGTTGATGTGTTGATATAATTTACTAATAAAGTAAATCAGTAGCATGACCATTGCACAACACAGAAAAAAGCCCCAGATGCTGTATGTACTCTGGCTTTCTGGCCTGTCAACACCACAGTCTCTAGGCAGTGTTGTTAGTAAGCTGTTTTAAAAACCTTTTGTAGAAAATGATTTAAGCTATTATGATCATGCCAGAAGAGTAGATACAGTAGTAACTAATTCATGTTAGTTTGTAATTTTGAGTTATCATGCTAGTGCTAAAAAGAGTTTGGTCATGTCTACTTTAACAACCCCAGGTTTGTGGAAGGAGAGTGGGGGGGGAGGGTCTGATTTTTATTGTATCAGAAATAACATATTGTTGATTAGTGTGGAGAGGGCCCTGGTCTCATAGGAAGTACTTATCTGCTTAGTTACTCACATGCAAAGAGTCTATAGGATCAGTGCCATGGTTTTTAAAAAGTTGCCCCGCCCACTCTAGTGTCATGAATCATGTTAGCTGTATTATTAGAATTTTGTTTATTTGTTTGAAAATCATTTCCTACCGTGTCACATGGTAATGTAGTTGGGGCCCCGTCTCTTCTCCAAGGGTATGTCTAGACTACAGGCCTCTGTCGCCAGAGGCAAGTAAATTAGACTATCCGACATAGTCAATGAAGCCGGGATTTAAATATCCCCGGCTTCATTAAAATAAAAATGGCCACCGCGCTGTGCCGGCTCAGTTGATCGTCGGCACAGCGCGCAAGTCAAGACGGGGATTGGTTGACAAGGGAAGCCTTTGTCGACCACTCCTGTAAACCTCGTTTCACGAGGCAAAAGCCATTTTTATTTTAATGAAGCTGGGGATATTTAAATCCTGGCTTCATTGACTATGTCGGGTAGTCTAATTTACATGACTGTGGCGACAGAGGCATATAGTCTAGACATACCCCACGTGTGAAGAGTAACTTTTGATATTAGGATGCTCAACATTTAACAATCTCTCTCTGCCATTTCCTTCAGTAACGGTCTGTGCCATTTTAGGGATGTTAGCAAACATTTATTTTTGTACATGCGTGTTTGCTGAATTTTTCAGCAGTTACATGTTTACACTTGGGGCAGGCGGGAGCCAGTGCTCGAGGGGAGGCCCCACCCCCATGCTGCTGCCTCTGTGGGAAGCAGCAAGGGGTGGGGGCAGACAGCTCTGTGAAAGCCAGCTTCTCGTGTGTACTGGCTCCTGCCTGCTTCCCTTGTCCCCTGCGCTGCTGCCCCTCTATCAGAGGCAGCAGCATGGTGGGAGGGGGACAGGAGACTTAAAAGCTGGCTCCCCATGGGCACCGGCTCCCACCTCCCCCCCCACCCTTGCTGTCTCTGATATAGAGGCAGCAAGGGGTGCATGTGTGCACATAGTCATTAGGATTAACCAATGAGCTCAGGTTTATTGGTTAATAGTGTAAGCAACTTCATTCTATGAGTGTGTCTAGACTATAGGGTTTTGTCAACAAAAGTGGACTTTTGTCGACAAAACTATACCTGTGTCTACACTGCCGCTGAGTTCTGTCGGCATAACGTTGACAGAACTCAGCAGTTTTGTCGATGGCTGTAAACCTCATTCTACAAGGAATAATGCCTTTTGTCGACAGAGTTCTGTCGACAGAAGGCGTTATTGCATCTACACTGTCCTTTGCGTCTACACTGTCATGTCGACAAAGCAAGCTGCTTTGTCGACAGAACTGGATGTAGTCTAGACGCTCTTTGTCGACAGTATCTGTCGACAAAACTTCTGTCGACAAAAGCCTGTAGGCTAGATGTACCCTAATATCCCCAGCGCCATTGGCCCAGTGCTTACAAGCAACTCTGCAATAACAAACAAGCTATTTTGAATAGCCTTATAACAGCATTTTCTAGAATGGAAGTCCATGTAGTTGGATACTGGGCAATAAATAGTGCATATTTGTACTTTTTTCTGCATGAGAATGGTGGCTTGGTGGCAGTGCAATGATGTAAAAATAGGTTTTGTCATTTACTTTTCTGAAGATGGTGGTGGGAAACCACTTCATCAGTGAGGTGCCACCTAAGTGAATTCATGCTAGCAAGCCTAAGTATGTAAACCGATATCAACTTTAAAACATTGCACTTCTGCTTAGAGTTATTTGCTTATTATAGTTCAGGCAGTACTGAAGATTAGAGAAAAAAGTTTCCTTTGATTTTGTCCATTCCACAGCATTTTATGGATAGCAAGTTTCACTGTTTCCCCCTTTAGAACCAATTGGTTTTCCTGTTATTTATGTTGGTCTTTTCACACAGCAATTGTGGAGATAGAAACATTTTTGAAAGTAGGAAAATATGATCATATAACCACCAGAATTGGTGGAGTGGGGCACTTGGGGGCAGGTGTAATACCTGAAACTGCTTTTAACTCATTTTTAAAATGGATTCTATTTTATTTTATTGTGGGTTCTGTTCCTTTTCCTGACTCATGTTGTAAGCTCCTGGGGGTAAGGATAGTCTCTTATTCTGTACAATGCCTAGCACAATGGGGCCTCTACATACTAATGGAATATAAATAGTAATGATCATGTTGATGGTATCCTTTCAGCATTAAAATACTTTAAGGTTATGATTTTGTGACATTCTTAAATGTAATGTTAAATTAGGCCTTTTTTAGTTAAAAAAAAAAAATGCCCCACCTTTGCTGTCACCACTTCGGCTCCATGGGTGGTAGCAGCAGTGGGTACACAAATGTAGAAGAGGGCAAGGCATTGGTGGCTGCCAGTATTTTAAGCACTGTGTTGCACAGAACTGCTGTGTATCTATGCAGCATGAGGCTGTGTCTGCCCTGTCACTACCACCAGTGGAGCTGCACTACTGGTAGCAAGCATGATAAACTTGACACATGTATAGTGAAAATAAGTCTCCCCTCCTCCCCCGAGCTTTAAATCTGAAGCACTTTTCACATGTGTGAGGGCACCCATGGTTCTAAAGCACTTTCAGGTTAGGGTGTACTTAAATACGGAATGAAAATGTTTTTCTGCATAGACGAAATAAGCCAATTTTCTTCCAACTTAACTTGATTTCTGCTTTGCAAGAAGGATTACAGATTGAAATTCTCTAAACTGGGACACACTCATCTGGCAACAGCAGGACTACGGATGTTCCAAGACCAGATGGTCGCAGTGGAAAGCTAGCGCCTGGGAGCCCTGCAGGCTAGCAGGGCAGTGGGAGCCTGATGCACGGCAGCGGGTCTTCTCGGCAGGGCAGCGGGAGCACCATGTGCAGTGGTGAGACTGCCTAGTAGGGCAGTGAGATCCCAGCTTGCGGAGGCAACAGAGACTGCCTAGTGCAGCAACAGGATCTGAATGTGCAGAGGCAGCGAGGGCTGACAAGGTAGAGGGGCCAGTGAGAGGGCAGAGGCTGTCTGGAATGTTGGCGGTCCAGCCAGGGCTCCGGGCCACAGTGGCCAGGGGGCAGAAATGACATCCCCTAGTTCAGCACAGTTCTTCATACAGAACTAGTCACGTCCAGAGGGTGCTGGACCAAGAAGGTCCAACCTGCGTTGATACGTTGGGTACAGTGCTTACATTTCCATCTATTAAATTGAGGGGTGGGGTGGTAATTAAGATACTTGAAAACAGCAGTAGGATAGGGATAAGAAGGTACAGGATATAAATTGATTCTAAACCTTAACTATAGGGGTCACAACTGTGAATATTATCATGCAGAAATTGTTTCATCCCTCACTGAAATGTAGCCACCTCAGAGGTAGGGCAGAGAAGTTATTTAACAGTGCACAGCAATGCTTCGTAAGAGTTCAAGATTTGAAGTGTAAAAAAAAAATCCATCTCTAGTTAAAACGATATGGATAACTGAGGTAGACACTGCTTTTGATCACCACAGCTTTGGTGATCAGTTTTTGAAACTCCAAGGTGAAGGATACCATTACTGATCCTCTGAGGTTGATGGTGTATGGCGTCAAAGAGCAGTTTGGAATTGCTCACTCTTTTCTAAGTGTTAAATGAATGTTTGAACAAATCAGGGTCATGTCTGAAATTGAGCCAATTTCAAGCAGAACTTGGTGAAATTTTCTGTGTTTTGTTGCTAGAGGTCTTTTGTGTCCCCTTCCCTCCACCTCCCTTTCAGGCCATAGTCTGTCTTCTAAGAATCGCTGCTCAGTTCTCAGGTTACAGATAACACACATGGCATTCAGTGCTCTAAAAGGAACTTCTGAACCTGCTGGTCTTTGTCAGATTTACTCATCATCTGTCCATGTCAGTTACACATCCAGTATCCTCTTGTAGGAATGTGTGTACATTTAGAAAGGTACAAGGGAGTTTCCTAAAACGGGAAGAGCAACTGGGTTTCCAAACCTAGCTGCCTTCCCCACCCCTCACCATCCCCTTTGCTGACAAGCCAGAGTTAATCCTCCCAAGTTTGACTGGAACAGCTGAGAGCGTGCATCCTGCATGTTTCAAGGCTTCTCAGTGGATTCATGTTGCCACAGAGCTGGGGGCCCCATTCCCTTCATACACACCCCATTTCAGTGCTGGTTCCGGCAGCTGTCTCTGCCTGGGTTAATGCAGAGAGAGAGAGGTGTTAAACGATACAAGCCTGTATTCTGTCATGAAAGAGATCCCTTCACTGCATATATCAATGTGGTGTCTCTCTTCTCCCCCCTTCTGCATCACCAAAGGATTTCGCTATGCTAATCCCAGCACCTGTCCCTGCCTCGGATAGTAAGAAGGAACTCAGCATAGGGGGAGAAACAGTCCCATATGCTTTTTGCTGTCCTGGATTGGGAGTTTTCCTTCTGACGCACTTACAACCAAGAGCATATGCCCTTTTCTAAATGCTGCTTGCTTCCTCCCATCTCTGTCTGTTGCTGTGAAGTGTTCCCCTCTTGAGTTGCAGGAGAGTTGTCAGCTGAGGATTCGGTTTTCAGTTCAGGAATCCTAATTTAGTAGCCTCAGCTCTGCCCCTTTGCACTTTGGCTCTGCAGTGCTGGATGCCACTGGGGAGGGGAGAAGGGGGGCTGATCTGAACTGAATCAGGCAGCTCCTTTTCATTTTCAGCTGAGCCAGTATCAACCTGAGTAGACCCAGAGTCCTGAGCCAAGCATTGCACAGTGCTGCCAGAGTCCTTTGCATAAGACTGCAAGACGGAGACGCAGATTTGGAGCTTCCAGTTCTCTGTCTAACTGGTCTTTAATTGGAGAATCTTTGGCTATGTATGGTGTGTATTGTATGGATTATCAATACCCAGTTGTCCAGGTAAGCAAAGGAGCAGTTGCAAATTAATAGCCTCTTTATCTTTTCCATATTGTCTTGAGATATGCGTAGGCATGCATTTTATGGAAGGGTGATAGGCTTCTAAGCTCTGCCCCTTCACGTGATGCAGAGCAGGCCTCAGCCTTCTAGGGGCTCTGCACTGAACTTTGCCGTAGCAGGAACTGTGAATTTACTGTTTGGGGGATCCTGTCAAGGGGATTGGCATTTAACTTTGGAGATTTCAGTTGTTCCAGATGCAGTTTCCTGGTTTTTTTTTTTTTTTTTTTCCCCCCCCCCCCAAAAGAGGGTGGGAAATGGTTTTGAATTTATAAAACCTTCATACTCTGGGAAGTGACTCTCTTATTGGGCGACTCATTGCATCATCTGGGGGCAGTCCATTTCAGAAACGGAGGGAGCTGTTCCCCACCTGTCCCCCCTCTGTCAGTTGTAACAAACTAGATTTTGTCAGGATTTGTGGAGCCATTTGCCTTTCACTTGTGAAGATCTGGGTGAAAGTCTGCTTTAGGCTGTAGGTGACATGACTTGATGTTTTCAGGCTAGTACTTAGTGGACATTTGTTGGGCCTGTATTCAGAGGTGAATATGGCTACTCAGACTGCGTGGTGTTCCTGAGGGGCTCTGAAGCAACATATTAGAACCGAGGTGCTTTGGCACACTGATGTGGAGAATGGTATCTTCTGCTCTATGCCTGTCTAGCCAGCACTAGCAGCACTTCATTTTCACAAGCACCGAATTCATCCACAAAATTTAACAAACAAAATAAACATCGGGTGAAGATTCTGTGCCCTGAGAATGCCCCAATGGCCACTGAATAGCCAGTGTTTTGTTAGATTATTCTGCTCTGGGGTTCGTATTACGCTACGTGAAAAGAATCCGCCACCAGAAGTGTGTCTCTTGGTTGTTAAGATTTGTTCCTGATAAATGTAGTTCTTTGCACTTGCAACTTTTTATCTGGCTCTGGTCCAGCTGGCAGGTTTGTCTCATCTCTGTTTGAGCCAGCACAGAAATGTACGTAATAGGATGTTAAAATCGAAGAGTGTGCTCTCTTTCTACTCCACCAAGGGAGAAACATAGGGATAGCAAAGCAAAATTAAAACGAACCCTGGAGGCACTTGAAGTAAAGAATTGGAGGGTGAAGGAGAGCACAGTTGATTCTATCTGCCTGTGGTGTATAAACCTTTCAACCATGGTGGCCAATTTAACTGCAAGCCAGTTATCTGCACCAAATGTTAACCCTTTTTTTATGCATTCATGGTTATGGTGTAATTTCAATACCTGACATCACCTTAGTCACCTGCAGTCTAATTATTCTCCTTCCAGCCTCTTTTTCCCTTGGAATTGAATGGCATGGGCTGATGGAAGTCATCAAGTGCATTGAGGTTATAAAGGAATTTAAGAATGGGTAGGAAATGCCCAGGTGTGATGTAGAGCCCCATTGGAAAACAAAGCCTGTCTGTTTAGCCTCTTACGGAGACAGTGGTTAAGTTTCCCCTTGGTTATTTTAGAATGCTGTTTATCCAATGATAAAATGAAGTTCCAAGTGCATACCTGCCTACCTGAACTTGCACCAAGATGCACACACAATCAGTGCCAGTGTACAGATACACTTTGTTTTAAATTTTTAATTAATGTAGTGACTGGGAAATGAGAACCTGATAGTACAGAGCTGGGCGCAGGACAGGGAAGTGCTATGTAAGCTTTCCATACTCCGCTCTGCTGGTGCACCTCTATCACAGCAGCATCCCCAGCAGTTTCAACCTGGGGCTTTTCCTAAGTAGAGACTGACCGCCAATAATGCTAAATTATGGTGTGGTTCTATGGTGTGCACAAATGAGGTGCTGGGTGGAGACCTACCCATCTTACTTCACATGACCACAAAGCAATATCTGATCCCAGGTACCCAGAGTGAATGGACAAAATCTGCTTATCGCATGGATCTTGTTCGTCCTACTCTAAGTTCTTTCTTGCTGTTTCTAGCAGAGCATGATAGAGAGAATTGCTAGCATGCCTAATCCTGACCTACACAACTTTCTGGAAATTCTGTCCTAAGTTATTTAATGGGATTTTGTTTGTATTGGTCAAAATCCCATTTAATTGACTAACTGCTTAAACATATTGTTTAACCTGTTAACCGACTAAAGGGGGCAAGTGGGTTGGCCACTGCAGCCCACCTGGAATGGTCCCTCTGCCCGCCACTGGGCTGCAATGTGCCCAGCCACAGGCCGGGGCTGCTTTCCGCACAAGCAGAGACTGCTCTAGTCGGGACGCCAGAGCAGCCCCTGCCTGTCGTAAGCCAGGATGCCCCACAGACAGGGGCTGCACTGAAACAGCCCCTGTATATGGCAGGTCCCCAGCAGGGGCTGGAGCAACCCCCTGCTTGCACCAGGCGGGGAGCTGCTTCAGCCCCACTGGTTAACCTTAACTGGCTTACCAGTTAATCAGCTAACCCTTCATATCCCTAGACAAAACCCCTAAAGAGAACCTTCCTTGCTTGTCGCACCAGAGAGTGCATTGGCCCTTGGGCATTCCTCTTCAGTCAGAAAGGAACAGAGATGGTGGATACAGTAGATATATACCAAACAAGGGAGCTAGTTTCTAGCTTGCGAAGTATTCATTTGGGTATGAGATAAAGGCAGCAGTGTAGGCACCTCTATGGACGTGCTCTGGGCTGGCCTTCAGAAGAATGGTACCTTAACTCCTGCCTCTCCTGCACCATAACTCCTATACTGTGCCCCTCACCCCAGCATTTTGTCACCTTCACCCCAACCTCTGCACAATACCATCTTCACCCCAACTTCTGTACTTCCCTCCCACCTGCACCCCCACCTCCAGTTCTGTGTTGCCATTGTGACTACCACATTGCCTCCCTGTCCAGTATCATCCAATACCTGATGCCAGTGGTTCTCAAACTTTCTGGCCCATGGCTCACCTGGTCCAATGCAAACCTTTCCGTGGACCACCAGTTGCTAATGGCAACTCACGGTTAATTATATAATTACACCTGAGCCATTTTGCTAGTGCTGCAGCTTGGGAGAACAGTTTAATTTAACCAGTAAGAAAGGAAATATGAATTTAAATTATTAAACTAAGTACTTTAACTTTCTCATATTAGTTTATCAAACTTTGTTTTAAACAATAAAATATTAATTTATGTCCAACACAAATGGTTCCCATGTTTTTTTTATTTATAGTAAGGGTGGGGAACCTTTTTTGGGTCTGAGGGCCACTGAACCACAGAAAAATCAGTTGGGGACCACACAAGTGAAAAGCGCAAAAAACCCCAAAACCCTCCAACCCCCCCAGCTGTCATTGATATGGCCCACAACTGAGACACTTTGCACCTCTTTCACTCCAGCCCCACCGAGGAGAGGGGCAGGGTGGACTGAGGTTCAGGGCTTCCCATAAGCCGAATTTACTCTTTTGGGGTTCCAGGATTAGTGGATTTTGTAGGCCCTGGGGTTGGGACAAAAGTGGGGGACGCAGTGTGCGTGACAGGGCTGCCAGTGAGAGGAATGGGGTGCAGGATCTGGGTGAGAGGTGGGGTGAAGTCTGGATTGGAGGAAGGATGCAGGAGTAAACTGGGGGTAGGGGTCTGGCCAGGAGGGAGGATGCAGAAGTACACTGGGGGGGCGAGGTCTTGGCAGAGTGGGGATGTGTGAGGGGGCTGGGGTGTGGGAGCTGGGCGTGAGGCAGCGGGAGGCACTTACTTGCCTTTGTGCCCTGTGCTAGTCCCAGGCACCGCCTCCACTGCTCCCATTGGCCGGATTCCGTTGGAGCACCAGCACTGGCTTCCTGCAAGGGAGAGGAGGTCCTGAGCCTTGCTGTGCGATCCGGCTCATGGGGAAGAAGCGCTCCTCCTCCCCTTGGCTGCGGGAACAGCAGCACGCCCGCCAGGAGAGGGGGAGCGGGAGCGCTCTTTCTCTGCCAGCTGGATCATGCAGTGAGGCTTGGGGCTTTCTATCTCCCCCTCTCCCGCACCAGCGGGAAACTGTCACTGGCATTCCAGGCCCATACACAGAGGGGAGGGGGGAGGGGGAAGGGCGAGGCTGCAATGCAGCGCGGGCTCCCTACTGCTGGGGTAAGGAGAGGAGTTGAGCTCAAGCAGCGGACCACATAGAAGGCAGCTGCAGAGCCCCCTCCCATTGACTTGGGGAACCCTTCGCACCCCCCTGTGTATGGGCCTGCAGGAAGAGAAAAGCTGGCCAGCAGGAAAAAGGAGCTGAAGGGGAGGAGCAGGGTCAGAGCTCTTTGTGGTGCCCCCCTGGCTGCAGTGCCTTGGGCCTAGGCCCTGATCGCCTGACCCTAAGGCCAGCCCTGGGCATGATCCTGGTTCTGTCTCGTGTCAAGTGGTTGTACAAAGGAAGTGACTAGATGCAGTGCGCTTGAACAGTGGTTGGACTTATGAGCAGTTGCTTTGTTTTCAGAGATGGGTTTTATTAGCAAAAGTCTCTAGAAATTTCTAAGGTGAAAACCAAAATGGATCAAAGCCATCGTACTGACTCACTGATTGTGGCTGTTGCTCCTTTGTGTTAATGACTTCACTACATGAACCTTTGTCTCTGAGTTAATTGTAAAAATGACCATCAAATCACTTGTTTAAGCCTTGGGATTTATCTACTGCAATGTGCTGCTGCAAGTTATCTTGGGCTTGTGAGTTACAGTAAGAGTAAATGCATGCGTCAAGCTGGCTACTGGGTGTGGGAGGCTAAGTTTTTCTTTGTGAGGCAGGGTTCTTTAGGTTTCCTGGGTAGCATTCTGGACCAATGTAGGGTAAATTGTGATACATGCAGGACTGTGCACAGGAAACAAAATATTTGTAGGAGGTTGATTTGGATTTGTTTCTATTCCTGTCGGTTGGGTCTGGCTGTAGGAGGTTGATTTGTTTCTATTCCTGTCGGTTGGGTCTGGCTCCCATTCCCCTTGTAGAATTTGCAGTGGTTATGTTCCTTTTGAAGTGTCTCTATCTCTAGTGTGTTGATTGTA